TACATCAAAAGAAGTATTTCCATAAATTGACTTGGAGTATTTATAAAAGGAAGCATTTTGCCAACACAATAATTTGATGGGATGAATCCTGCCCTGCCATAGCCAAGCCTGCAAACAAAGCCAAAACCCAGATCTCTAAATAATGGTTTCCTTTCCTTAATCCCTGCCTATTTGGACACACATCCGAGGGCATTCAAATTGCCATCAGGATTCTTGGAAGGGTTATAAACCTCATTTACAATAATCAGGATCCACTTCTCAGGTGAGTAGGCAGCAGCACTGATGTTCAGTGAGCAAGGAGGGTCTAGAGCAGCGGTTCTCAACCTGTGGGTCGCGACCCCTTTGGCGGTCGAACGACCCTTTCGCAGGGGTCGCCTAAGACCATCCTGCATATCGGATATTTACATGACGACTCATAACAGTAGCAACATTACAGTCATGAAGTAGCAACGAAAATAATTTTATGTTTGGGTCACAACATGAGGAACTGTATTTAAAGGGCCAGAGGTTGAGAACCACTGGTCTAGAATCAGCCTCCTGGGGTCCATTGGAATCTAGAATCCCAGATAGGTCACCTTGAGCAAATGCTGAAAAGTTGTACAATACCTATCAGCCTCCAGGATAATGTGCAAAGGAGTGAGTTCTCCATCAGTTTGGACATTCAAGTGTAGGTGGGCCACACGTGGCGGGATGTTGCATTGGACTGCATAAGTGCCGAGATCTTTTCGAACTCTGAGTTCTTTTGAAAAGGAAGGCTCGGTGCCAAAGAACAGACTCTCCTTTGAGATAAACACCACTGGTGGCTCTCATTTGGAAAAGGAGGCCAAAGACTTGCACTCTGTTTAAAGCTAAGATAGGCCGAAACCGGTTTGGCTCAGTGGATAAAGCGTCGGCCTGCGGACTGAAAGGTCCCAGGTTCGATTCCGGTCAAGGGCATGTACCTGGGTTGCAGGCACATCCCCAGTAGGAGGTGTGCAGGAGGCAGCTGGTCGATGTTTCTCTCTCATCGATGTTTCTAATTCTCTATCTCTCTCCCTTCCTCTCTGTAAAAAATCAATAAAATATATTTTTTAAAAAAAGCTAAGATAGAAAGAGGCCAAGTCACCCCTGTTGCTGAGTCAGCAGCTGGGGAGTCATGGCGAGTGCACTGGATTTCAGTCAGGAGCCTGGGCAGGAGTCCCAGCTCTGTTCCCAGCTGTGCGGCCCTGGGTAGGCAAGTAATGGATACGCTCTGAAGTTTCTTCACTTGGAAATTGGTTGTACTTTTTTTCTTCTTCTTCTCAAAAGGTACTCCTGAGGACTCAATGAGCCAACATGAAATTGCTTTGAAAATGGTAAAGCACGGGATGAATATAGGTCTTATCATTTTCAGAGCTCAGATTATACTATACATCCTTAGCTCTGAAAATAACATATGTAACCTCAGACCCTGGCTGAGATCAAACTATTATTTTAAACATCATGATGGGTATAGAAGTTGGGAAAATAGCTATTTCAAAATCTCTTGCTTATTTTCTCTATTACTCTAGAGTAGAGATTCCAATTTACCTTGAAGGCAGGTAGCGGTTTTGTTCTGAAAATTAAAAATAATAATCAAAACAGAAACAATGGTACCAGGCCATCTATGTTTATGCAAATATCCCAGCTCTCACTTATTGTTTTAGAAAAAGGGAGATCATCCTCAACTTGAAGGCTAATGTCTTACACTCAGTACTTGACTGTTTCTTCCCTAAATAAATATACCTTTTATCGAAGATTTTCAATACAAATATTCACTCAAATATTTATGGACAGTAACACTATCATGTCAAGTGTTGAGCGAAGAGTGTTGATGAGTCAGATACACTCGTTCAGGTGTTAGAGGAAAGATAAAATAGACAAGAATTACACAAATGATTATAAGCATCGGTGAGAAGGTAAGAAGGGCTCTGAGGATCTAGCAGAGGGTGCTCCTGTGGAGTTGGGAGGTTTTCCAGAGAAAGGAATGTGGAAGTGGAGCCTTGAAAGATGAGCAGGAATTATCTAGGTGGGAGATGCCAGGTGAGGGCAGAATGTTCCAGCAAATGTTTCTTTAGCGTCTCTTTGAAGACAAATGTTTGCTCCTCTGGGTGAATTCTGACTGCTGTGTCTATAAATAATTGTTTATTCTTAGCAAATTTTGTGTGCTCTTCTCTGAATAAATGTTATCAGGAGAAGCAAGCTGAGATGAGAAGGACTCTGGAAGGACAGGGATGTGCCACCGTACTTTATGTCTCATCCTAGAGGAGTAGCTATGAAAAGAATAAGGCTGTCCCAACCAATGTGGCTCAGGAGGTCATGGTTCAATTCCCATTCCTGGTACATGCCTGGTTGTGGGCTCAATCCCCAATTGGGGGAGTGCAGGAGGCAGCTGATCCATGATTCTCTCTCATCATTGATGTTTCTCTCTCTCTCCCTCTCCCTTGGGCTTACTATTGACTGGACATAAGATCCTTCATACGGGGCCTTATGGAATGTAGTCTTGTGGGTTTGATAATCTTTATAGCTTCACTCAGAGCCTAAGGGCAAGATCCCTGTCTGATTAAGGCTGGACTGTTACCCTATTTAAGTGGATAATCCCCCTGTGTCATCCTGGGGCAGGACATGGAGACTCATTTTTTGCATATTTCATTAAGGGTAGTCTGGGCTTGATTTGGAACCTAAAAGTAACCCATGAGCAGACATGGCTGTTAGGAGGTGTTCTCTGCCATGCCCTCTCTTCTTACCCCCCCTCCCCTCACTTTCAATCCATTTTTACTGAAATTCAAACCCTGGGCTCAGCTACGCTCTGCTGAATCAATGGCGCCTTCTCCTTCATGCTTGGCAAGGTGTGGCTGAGGGGAGAGTCCCCTAGGGGGCCTAAAGCAGGGGCAGTGGGAGCATCATCTACATGAGTCCAGTGTGCCGAGCAACACAATGATCGCACGGTAGTCAAAACTGCGAGGAGAACATTGACGCTTCCCCTACCTGTGATTCTGTAAAACAGCCTGCCACCCATTCTTGTGTGTCTGGGAAACAGCTTCCTTCGAAGAAGCATGCTTCCCCAAATGACTTAAGTAGGAGTCACAGATGCTCTTTTGTTGACATACCTCAGGGCCAGACACAGAACCTCCGGATTCCCATTCTTTGTCTCAGAAATTACTAGCTGTGATGTCCCCCAATCAACCAAACAAAATGCTTGCTAACCCATCTTTGGTTAAGTTTCTTTCCTCCCCCAAAGCCCCTGAATTCTGTGAGCCTTCTAGAATACAGCCTCTTCTTAGTAACCACCCCTTCCCCCAAGAAAAGGCGGACCTCAGAGTCAGACATTCATCCCTTCCACACCCCTGGTTATTCTAGCCTTGTGTGTTTCCCAGATAAGAAAACTGGTTTTGCCTAAACCTTGAGCATAAACCTTGCAGATCAAATGGTCAGAGAGTTCTATTTGTTGTAATAGTTGAACTCACTGATCACATGATGAGAGAAATAAGCCTTGAAATAATATTTTCAAATGAAGTCTCTCTTGACTAAGTTTGGATTTGTTTTCCCTTTGACGGTGATGAACGAAAATAAGTCCCAAGCAGAAGAACACGAGGGACCCCTGTCTGAACACACATGAACTATCTTCCTGGAAAACCCCCAGAACAGATTTTTAAAAATGGGATAAAGAAGGGCAATTAGATCACAAGTTCTCATGCTATCGTTTTGGTCTTAAATATGACATGTACACTTATTTTGCAGACAGCTTTTGGGAACAGGGCACTTGGTTTATACATAGAAGAATATTTGATGGGAAAAACACCACGGATTATAGAATCCAGCCAGCTGAGAGCAAGCTATTCTTTCTCAGATATTGGAAGTTGCTCTCACATTAAAATCTAGCCTATTATGAAGAATAAGCAGTTCAGAAAAAAAAAATCCTCATCTCCACAGGCAAAGATTCTGCCTTTGGCAGAACACAGCCAGGAATAACTCCTCTTTCCCCACCTGCCAGGAAATGCATCCCTTCTTTTCTCAAAGGTGACCCCCACACCTCTGAGAAACTTTAAAACTCAGTACATTCTATCGCCACCGCATCCTATGTTCTGACCTTCTCTGGACACTGAGGTTCTGTCAATCTTCAAGAAAAGCAGAATTATTAATGCTTCAACTTTTTATTGACTTACCAGTTAAATGAAATAGAAGGACTGGGGGTCGGGTAGTGGGGAGGCCAGCCTTGACATCAGAAAATCCAGGTTCCATTAACATCTGCTCTGTGATCTTAAGGGCAAGTCATGGAGTTAAGTGTGCTCATCTCTAAAGTGGAAATAACAACAGGTATTGAAGAGCATTATTATCAGGATGGATCAGTGGTCAGCAAACGGCGGCTCTCAAGCCACATGGGGCTCTTTGACCTCTTGAGTGTGGCCATGAAGTTTTAATCGCACTGTACGTGCGCGCCCGCACGTGGTATTTTGTGGAAGAGCCACACTCAAGGGGCCGCAGTTTGCCGACCACTGGGATGGACAGTCACTACATACACTATGTATGAAAAAGTGCTTGGGCCCAGCCAGCGTGGCTCAGTGGTTGAGTATTGACCTATGAATCAGGAGCTCACAGTGCAATCCGTGGTCAGGACACATGCCCGGGTTCAATCCCCAGTGTGGGGTGTGCAGGAGGCAGCCAAAAAGTAATTCTCTCATCATTGATGTTTCTATCTCTCTCCCCCTCTCCCTGCCTCTCTGAAATCAATAAAAAAATATATATTTTTTTTAAAAAAAGTGCTTGGTACTTTTCATCCAGGGCTTCCATTTTCTCTTTATCAAGTCCAACACAATAATCGGTATCCATCACTCAAATTTGATTATTTAACCAACCTTACAATTGCCGTGCTTAGAGTATATTGAAATAGCCTCCTGATTTTCCCTCTTCCCGCCTCTTTTCATATTCACTGTGGTAGTTACGTTGATAAGTCTGAAACTAAATGGGCTCGTGTTACTCTTCTTCTTAACATCCTCCAACAGCTCACGCTGGTTCCAGGCCAACGCCCAAGCTCTTCAGCGTGAGAGACCCTCCGGGTCTGGCTCTTCGCAGCCATATGCCCATGTGGAAACTACCGCCTCATCAGAGCTCGATATGAAGTAGGTGAGTACTCTTTCGTTGTTTTTTTTTTTTTTTTGGAATGAAAGAATAAGGACAGACAAGTAAATGTATGAGGCCATTGGTGCAAGGCCAGTTGAATATTTCACATGGGTTCTGAGTCACTTTCATTTTGGGGGAAAGTGTTTGGAGAACAAGGAACCCCTCTGACTAGAGGTGCACTCACTATGTCAGCATCCACACAGCTGGGAACAAAAGACGATTCTGCTGGTAGATATTTTCCCCCAGATGTTGGCTCCGGAGAAACTTTAATAATAGAAAAACCTCAAGGCTAAGTCTGTTGCTTAAGTTTCCCTTTGTTCATATCAACATCTGAACAGAGATAAATATGCCTTTTCCCCACGTAAGCGAAACTCCCAGGGAGCAAATGTCCACCTCCATTGATTTCAAGCCGTAGCTATGAAGAAATTGCACAGTAGTTCATTAAAGATAGTCTCCATCCTTCCCTCACTCCCAATATATCTTCCAGACAGTAAGATTTAGCTTCCTGTAACACCAATCTCCTTCCCTCCTCCCTCATCCTGCCTTAATAATCTCCTTCCCAGTTAGTATGTTAGCATTTTAATAGGAGCAAGCTAGTAATTGACCAGAGGCTTAAATGTGTGGCATACATTAGGAATGAACAATGGCGAAATGTTAGGAACCACGGTAAACAACCATAAAACATCATTAGACGGAGAATGGTCAGAAAGGGGAATGGTGCCTCCTCTTTGATCTTCATTCATTATTCCTAGAACATTTAGCTATTTGTGTGCCGCGAGTGTCCTCTGGAAAAGGTAGGAGCAGCCTGCCTCGCTTCACAGTCCGGACGGTGTTAGCGGTGGCAGCCCGCACAACTGATTCTTCCCCTCTCAATATGGCCCTGGCAATAAAACCCTGTTCCTGGCTACTCAGATTCCCTCTGAATGCTGGCCTCTGTTTCGAAAGCCATCTTTCTGAAAGCACCCAGAGCTGCTATGTTTATGTATAACAGGGAGTGAGAGATGTAATAAAGCCAGGATCGATTGCCCGGTAATAGCCATGATTCCATAGACATGAAAGGGTATTTGTAATTTAGGTCTCATAATGTGGCCTAACTCCCTATCTTGTGTAGTTATTGATTTTTCAATACGAGGACCGCCCAGCAAGCCTTTCAGGGTTGTTCTCCCTGCTCCATGCAGCCCAGAACAAACACCCCTCTCATAGGAGGCCGGCCTAGAGAAGGGTCTTCTACTCTGAAAGTTACAAGGACTCTCTGGTTTTTGAACTTGCTAATGTGGTTCCTGCTTATATAAAAAAAAGGAGGGTTTAATGGGTTACATAAACTTTCCACAGCCAGTCAGTTCTTCCCGGCGTCCTTCCTTCTGTGGCCGCCTAGAGTGAGAACTGGTAAACGTCACCCCTTCTCTGTCCCCCCACGGCCAGTCTGTGCAGAGACGGTGGGTCTCCCCTCATCAGACATGTCCCCTCCCTCTGGCCTCCTCTCCTCTCAGGCTCTCACATCCCCTCTCCTGAACGCTTACGATTCCATGCTTGTGCACGCTGTGAGGGGATCACTACAGTAAGTCATTAGCAAGTTTGCTTCTCAGTGCAGACTGTACGTGAACACGGTCTAACTGAGGGTTTTCGCTGGTGAAGATCACAGCTCAGGACAATTCCTCCGATTCTGTCGAGAGCAAATGAGATGGAGCGTGGCTTTACTGACTAGGAACCCTCACTCTATCCACCGTCAGAGCCTCCAAACTGCTGCTCAGCGTGTACCCTGTACCCCCTTCCTCTGTGGGGGATCGGCTTTTACTGCTCGGCCTTCCTGGAAATGCTAACCTGTGCTTTGCTGGGTCCCACAGCTCCTTCGTGGTGGAGCGGCAGCCCTGCATGCCCACGCACCCACAGAGGCCGCTGGTCCTGAAGACGGGCGTGCAGTTCACCGTGAAGCTGAGGTGAGAACACCAGGCTGCAGCGATGCCTCCTGCGCCACGCTGCTCCTGCCTCCTCCCCACAGCCCTGCCCGGTGGTGCATTGGAGGGAGGCGTCCCCAGAGGGCACTTCTTCAGGCTGAGAGTCCGCTGGTCTTCTCCCACTAGAGCTGTAGCAGATGTGTGTGCAAACACGTGCACACACACACACACACACACACACACACCAATGTTTTCAGTTAAAGAAACAGTACTAGGAAGAGGTGTTTTACTATCTGGCAGTTGCCAGTGAAGAAGCGCTGAAAAGCAACAGCTGCCACCACTGAGTGACAGTGATGCTCTAACAGTGATGTCCTGAAATGACCCATCGCCTGTAATGACATTCCCAAGACCTGCCGCACTGACCCAGCAGCTACCAGGCCTCGGAAAGCATGAAGACAGACTGGCTTTATTATAGGCGCAATAACGGCCCAGGGCATCCTTCAGGCAGACATGTACTACCACCTTCCTCTTCCTCCTCCCCTGCCTCCTCCCTCTCCCCTTCCCCTCCCTTCCTCCTGCTCTTCCTCCTTCTCCTTTCCCTCCCTTCTTTCTCCTGTCTTTGCTATTCCCAATGAGTCCTTCAAGAGTCTTTGCTATCATCGCTGGGTTCCAGGTCAGATCCTTGCTTTGGAAGGATTTTGCCTTTCTGTGAAAGGCCAGATCAGTTCTATTCTCCCATAGCTCTACAGTCGCATAACTGAAGCTTTTGGGCTTCCACCATAGAAGACCTATTAGATAAATACTATATTAAGAGCTCAAGATCAAAGACTAAGTAGTACTTGCCACTATATCCATGCTGGCCTGGTTTTGTGTTTCTCTGAATGGGTCCTTGTTCTATATTTGTATAATGGAGCTTTTTGTTGTTAACCCTCACCTGAGGATATTTTTCCATTGATCTTTTAGAGAAAGTAGAAGGGAGAGGGAAAGATAGAAACATCAATGTGAGAGAAACACATCCATTGGTTGCCTTCTACTCCTGCCCCAACCAAGGCCTGGGTCAGGGAGGAGCCTACAACCCATGTATGTGCCCTTGACCAGAATCAAACCAGGGACTCCTTGGTCCATGGGCCGACACTCTATTATTCACTGAACCAAACTGACTAGGGCTGTATGATCAAGCTTTTACTCTTTCCTAAAACATATAAGAAAAACCTCACAGGGAAATGACATAAATTCATATTCTGACTCTACTTCTGGCCATATCCCATGACCTTGGGTATGTCCTTTTAACCTGAGGAACACAGATTCCTCATCTGTGGTGAACTCTTCTCTGCCTAACCCAAAGGCTAAAGCAGCAGTTCTCAAATATTTGTCTTCAGAAATCCTTTAAAATCTTAGCAACTAGTGATGACCTCAAAGTGATTTTTTTCCTTCAAATGTGGATTTTTTTTCTATTATTATTTAATTAAAAGTTAATAGTGAGAATTTTAAAAATACATTCTTTTAAAAATAAGAATTTTATTAGATTAACAAATATTTCATTAAAGTATGTATTAATCTTTCTAAAAACAAGAATTTCATTATGTTAACAAATATTTTTATTAAAAACACTTTTTCAAAACATTAATGAGAAAAGTTAGCTTATATTACATATTGAAAGATCTTTTTAGTGCCTGATTTAATAGAAGACAACTAATTCTCACATCTGCTTCCGTATTCAATCTGTTACAATCTGTCCCTTTGGTTGAAGTACATGATAAAAACTTGGCCTCCCCAAACATACAGTTGGAAAAGGGTCGAGTATTATTATAGACACTCTGCCATGATACTGCACTAAAACGAGAGAAGCAGTAGCCCATTAAAGCTTAGTTAAATGTGGAATATGAAACCACATCACTGAACTTTTATAATCTAGTGAATTAAAATCTATTTGCACTTTGAATAGGTTTTTTTACTCACACATATTTTAGTTACGCTGGTCATTTGAAAAATGTTGGTTTCGAAGATTTTCAACATGTTGACATATTTTAATATATTATATTTAAAAATCACAGTTGTAAATAACACTCACTACAGATCTCAGCGGAGAAGTCTAAATAAAAGCTGTCAAACTTACTGTGACAGATATCAGTTTTCCAAATCCCAATATTTATCCAGAAACTTAATTTTGGTCATTGGTCAAGAAGGTTGTCAATTGCTATCCTTGGTGTAGAGAACTCCCTACACTCAACCTGGAGAAACGATCTGCCCAGTCCTCGAGCCTGTAGGGCCACTGTCGGTCAGTTGTTCCCCTAAGCAAAAACGGTATTCTGTGAAAACAGAGCTGGTTCAACTTGTAGCTCAAGCAACTGTACCGTGCTTTCTTGTGCACTGCACTGTATGCAGCAGAAATAGTTTAGCCCACATTTCCCAAACTGGGTGCCGGAGCACCCCTACAGCGCAAGAAGCTCCGCAAATACTCTACATTTCCAAGGCAGACACAGTGACATCTACTGGATATCAGGCAAAAATCAACAAGCGACAGGAAAAGACACTGGCGTCCAATCTGATCCCAAGATTTGAAAAATTGGTGCAGGGACCAATAGGCATATCCCATTAGCAGTCGATTCTATTCATGACATATATTATTACTTCTTTAAATTTATATGTATATTTTTTTTTTCAAATGGGCACTAAGTCATTTCGACCTAACCACTTAATAAATGGAACTGGTGGTTTAGTTTGTTAGCTTACGCCCTTGCTCCCATAACACACATGAGTGAGACATGGAGAAAGCTGAGGAGCTTGATCACACAGACTATCAGGCAGTTGTATACTCAAAGTTAGATACGTAATAAAAATAACATTTTCACCACTTTATCAAGACAGTCTTAACCAAAATTGCCTCTCCTTTTTTTTTTTTCTGGAAGTGCATGGTGATGAAAACTAAAATAATTACTAGAATAGTTTGGTGCTACTGCCTTGATTGATGCTAAAGGGCCAACAGTTACACCAGCCATTGCTTTTGCTGCACCAGTAAATGCCAACACAGTGAAAAAGGCAACTGATTTCTCACTGTTGCTATGAAAATACTTTGACCTCACAAACCCATTTGACCTGACAGGGGCCATACTCTGAAAACCACTGGATTAAAGAAATGATCCAATATAATCAATGTGAGAATGTTCCATGTCACATAAAACGATGGACACATTCTGCTCGGTAATGTCTTGCTCTCTCCTGCCTTACTGTGTTAAGTCCTTGCCTTGGAAACCAGTGGCCCCATGCTGGGCGTATGAAGCTGTTCTTTGTCCTTAGTTTTGAGAAGGAATCATCTAACCTGAAACTCTAGATCTGGGCTTCTTGCAAGTTACTGACAAAGGCCCTGGTTTCCTGCATGTTTGTCACTCTCAGACTTGTGCCAAAAAGATCCACTGACTGAGGCAGAAATCTTGACATCAAATAACAGAATACAATGGTGAATTGAAGCAAAAAAAAAAAAAGGAATTAATTGAAAAGGAGCTAGGGAGCTCACAAAGCTGACGGAAAGGCTGGCAGGAACCAAGGGAGGAGCAGCAGAAACAAGATCCCGCCCCAGATACGGGCGTCTAGGATGTCACAGCTGCCTCGGGACCCCCACCATCTCATCACTGAATTCCTGACTGCACTGCAGCTGCTGCAGATAACCTCTGATAGGCTGTCCACCTCGGTGTCACTCTCGCAGGATTTAACCTCCTGGCGGAGCAAGTGATTGACTGTAGCTCCGTCATGGACCCGTGCTCTGTCAGGAGGCAGTGAGAGCAAGAGTCTTTCCTCACTCAGTTGCTGACTCCCTTCCGTTTAGAGCTTCAGCTAAGATAGAAAAGGTGTTTGATGCTGAGCAGTTAAATTGACAAACGCCAATACTGTTCACTCCAAATACACTTTCTTTCCATCCTACAATTTTAAAAAATACCCTGCATTAAGTGGCTCCTAAGGAGAGAGATTTTAAAAATATATTCTGTGGTTCCGTCTCGCTACAATCTCAATGTATCCTGGTGAGACCTCTTTCTCCTACAGGTGGTTGTGATTTTCCCGTAATACTCTGTATCCATCACTCTTAAACTCTTCAGCAAATAATTGGGGGAGTTGAAGGAAATCTGAGACATTTGTTAATTGATGGAGCTACATAATTAACCCATCAAGGAAGGACATGTAGATAGATGCTATAGTACTTAAATGTGCAACTGTTCAGTATGTATTGTAGTTGATACTGAGGGCTTCTCTCTTCTCTCAGCCAGCATTTTGGTTCTTCAGAAATGAGTTACTTTAGCTCGTGACTCAAATGTTTATGCCGACAGGACCTGAACACTTAGGACGGAGGTTGTTTACCAGTAACTGTTAATACTAGTATGCCAGGAAGTGTTCGGTGCTCCAGGGAATCTCTGTCTGCCACTAATACTCTTTCTTATCCCCATTGGTTAGCAACAACCCTATTTTCCTGAAGAGCTGGGCTCAATCACGCTAGGCAATGCCATCATCCCTGTTGTGGCTTGTTTCCGTAGTGTTAAGAGGAGCCTGAAACGGTCGGACAGAAGCAATGAACTGTTTTTCGATCCCCAGGTAAGTGCATTCTTCCTTTGGTACTAAAATCTGTAAACCAGTAGAGGCAAGAGTAGCAAGGATGGAAAGCAAAACTTACACAAATGGTCCATGAGAAGCAATTAGCGCCGAAGCCTTCCCCAATGCTGCCTGCCATGGTCCTGCCGTCACTCAGAGCCAGGGGAGGGTCAGCGCCCATGCTGATGCCTCCTCAGAATGCGCTCTATTGAGAAGACAGTGAGGTGTTTGCCCAGCCAGCACCACAACGGATCCCTAATATCCTACTTCACCATCACACGGCGCCAGCTCCTTCAGCGTGATGGGTTATGTCATGCATTCACTCAGTAACTTTTTTTAACTAGAAAGTGTATTTGTTG